GCTTGTTGATTTGCTCTTCAACACATGTTCTCTTTCGTAACAGCGCACAGCTGGGGCTCAGCAACGCTGGTGGGAACCTCTGTGCTTCCTGGCTCATCTGCTTTCTCTCCATCCTACCATGGCTTTAAATAACTGATGTTTCCACTTCCCTGTTCTGTGTGGCAGGGAACACGCATTGCAACACAACCTTTTTCTAACAAAAAAAAAAAAAGAAACAAAAAATCACTGAAGCATGAAAACTTGAATGAATCTGGTGGCTGTATCAGTTCTGGAAGTTTGCTGCAGGGTTTCTGCTTGGATATTTATAGTTACTCTGTGAAGAGCACCTTGTAGAGCAGATACGAGTCTATGCTGGTGGGGGGGTGGAAGGGGAGTAATGGCCTAAGCTTTATTTATCAGAGAGAAAAGCTGTAATTTTAATAGGAGAGCCCAAAGTCAAGGTAAGGACGAGTCACTGCAGTTCTTTTAGCTGCTTCTGCAGCACTACCTGGGCAGATCGGGTGCTGGGGGTCGGCGTCACCCAGCACTGCACAAGGTGGAATAACTGGGCTCTTCTTTACTCTCTCCCTGGAGAGAGGCAGCAGAGGTGGCACCCTGGTCCTCGGAGGAGGGGATGCTGCCGAAGGAATGCCCCGGCAGCAGTTTCTGAGAAGGTGTCGGTGTGAGTGAAGAGGGCGGCTGAGGTGAAGAGGAGCGTGATGGGTGTCTCGGGGGCTTTCGCTTTACCCAGGCTCTAGGACTTGACCTCAGGCTGCCTAGCGAAGAAGAGTTTCCAGCATTAGAGAGGTGGGGAGTGAACCTGCAGAGGGGCTCAACGCCTGCAGGGAACGATGCCAGGAGGGGCGAAGGGGGAGCTGCAGCTGAGCAGTACCTGCAGAACAAGCCCCAGAGCTGTGCACGACGTGGGCACACCCTCCACTAGCAGGTAAATAAAGCTTAGTGGTGAAACTTCCCTTCTAAAATGGCTTTTTACCCGTCTCTACAAGAATCTCCTTACAGCGTACAGCAGCAGGCGTCAAACTTTCGGTCTCTAGGAAAGCTTTGGTGATATGCAAGTATATACCTGTTCTAGCAACAACCTGTGTTTTTAGAGCCGAGAAGGAACCGGGTCCTACCCTGAGGTGAGGGACCTCATGCACAAAACCACCTAAGAGAATAAACCTGTTGTGGGGTAATGCGCTCAGCAGCACACAGCGCAAATACCCAGCAAAGGACTTAATTACTATGTACAAAGGTGCTTTGGTCAGGGCTGTGCATTCAGCTCCTCCGCATGTCAGCGAGCAGCTATGCGGCAGAACAGGCTGTCAGATTAAGGAGTCTCCGGCAAACCCCATGCTGAGGACATCGGAGGACACCAGCCAAGCCGGGAAGTGAGTGAGCTGGGTGGTACCGAGCGGAGCTGCCCACAGCCTCCCGGGCACGGGGTGCCGGTGCTGCCGCCCGCCTCTGCAGCTGCGCCTCTGCCTGCGCTGCCTGCACCGCGCTGGCTCGGAGCAAAGCTGCGCGGGCAGGGCTGCAAGGGAGCACGGAACGCGGCGACCTGGCTGCTTCAGGTCAGAACCTGAAGCTGTTTTAGGGGCTCGGCCGTGTTGTGACCCCAGCCCGGAGCGGTAACAGACCTGCCTTGCATGGGTGCGAGATGAGTTTCTCTCGCCCCGGTGCAGCAGGCTGCAGGTGAGGGGCCGGGGGCTCGCCCGCGAGTACCTGCCGAGCACCCACCTGCCAAGCACCCGCGCAGCCTTATCTCCACTGGGGAGGCGAGTTAATGTGTAACCCGGCTCTGTTTGGTTAGCCCAGAAAAGCAAAGAAGTCCTGGGATAGGCACGGCTGGGACAAGAATTTGGGCAGCGTGGAACGACGGACGTCCTGGTAAAAAAAGAAAAAAAATACAATAATCTCTATTCCTTCTTGTCCTTTGCTTTCTGTCCTTTTCCTGCTGAATGGGCTGCGGGCGAGGGGCTGAACACCTCTGCCTGGGTGGGATACGGGGCTCCGGGCACCCTCGGGGTTATGGACGTGCTTTGCTTTGGAAGGGGAAAGTGGTGGAGGTGTCACAGGAGGTGGCACCAGCAAAGATGGACGAGGTGGTTTGAAGGTGATGGCGGGAGGAAAGCTGGGGAGATCCAGCCGCTGCCGGCAGAGAGGCTGGGAAAACTTGTGCTCAGGGCAGCAAACAGCTCGGGCAACTGCTACATGCACTTGGTTTACTTTTTTAAATAAGAGGAACTATAGGTCTGCCGCCATTGTCTCCTTTCACCCTGAGGTGGGGTCCATCCCTCTGTGCCACTGCAGAGCAGGAGCAGCTGGGATGGTACCTGCAAATGGCGTTTTGCTTTGTTTTGTGTTTTGAGCTGGCCGGGACGAAGCCCTTTACTGGCAGCTGTAAGGCAGAGGGGGTACGGCTGCTCTGCCTTAGCAAAAATACCGAGGTTCTTCAACGTTGCTGGAGAGCTGTGAGAGTGCTTGCAGTAGCACTGGGCTTAAAAGAAAGTAGCCTCTTCATATAAAGCAATTAGCATTAATTGCTACCCAGCACCTCTGTTGTTTGAGGGCTCAGTGAGCTTTGTAAAGGACAGTTATGGCAGCTGTCACAGGCTGTGAACTGGCCTTTTATTTTAGATTAAAAAAATAGCTTCTTCTAAAAGCATTTTTAGTGGGGCAAGATATATACACCACTGAAAAACAGCTTTTCAAGTACCATGTCTTTTAATTTAAATGCTCAGTCATTTTTAGTTTGTGGCTGAACTGCTGTGTTATTCAGCAAAAGAAAGGAACTCTAAAATCCTTCTGAATCCTAAAAACTGGGATTTTTCAACACTGATTTTTCCCCTTCCCCAAGTCGGGTGAATGCGTTAGAGCCGTAATCGCATCAGAGAACTAGTGGGCAGGAAAATGAACTTCTTGTTTCTGTGTAGATCCTCTCCAGCATCTGACGAGCTCTGGGCTGAACTTTGCCTCCCTGCGAGCTGGGGCTTGGCGGATGTCAAAGCCTTGGCAGCCGCTTTATGTTTCTGCAAATGCTGTTTGAACGAGAGCAAGTTATTTCTTCCAATGGGCTGACGATGGTGGGCATCCTCGTGGAGAAATTAGCTCTGTCGAGACCCCTAATTAGAGCTGGGCCACACTGCTGCTCTCCCACCCGTGGGGCTGCCTTGCACAGCGGACGCTGGCTCCGACCGGCTGCTCCAGCTGCAGGCGTCAAGTTCGAGCAAGACTTTTGCTTCCCCAGGATTGTTTTGCTCTCTCAAACTTGTGCAGTAGGGCAGGAGGCAGTGAGGAGCATTGCAGCAATCCTGACCAAGCAGGTGGTAGCCTCTTGCTGCTTAGAAGTAGATTCATTATTTCACATTGCAAATGGTTGGGCGCCCACCAAAACTGTGTGGCTTGCAGAAGCTTAAAACCCCCCAAACTCCACTGGTGTCTCTGCCTCCTGACAGCTAAAAGCTCTGGCTATGAAGTTATCCAAATTCAAAGAACCAAGGGTATCGCCATTCCAAACCCACCGCTTACTGAAATGTAATTTAAGCAGTAAATAATGCAAAGCTGAGACTAAAATATTAAAATCCTCCTGCATGGAAGGATTGGATCTGCCAGGGCATGGGTGTTGAAATCTGATTTTTGCGGCATATTCCAATTACAAAGGAATTCTTTCAGGGTCTAACACTCTGAACAAGCAGCCAGTTCTGCTCTCTTATCGCTAGATCTAATTCCCTGATCCTGCTACAAGAAAAAAGCAGCAGTGTGTTCCTGCGTGCCACGGCCAGGTTACAGCACAAAGAGCTCCTCTGTCTTCTGACGAGCAAATCCTCTTGCGTGGGTCTGTGTGTGTTGGAGGGGGTGTTTGTTTTGCCGCTCTTGTTAGCTTCTGCAGCTCAGTTCTCCTCTCCCCAAGAATGGGCGGTGTGCGTGAAGAAAACACGTAATTGGTGGTGTCCGTAAATTTTGGAAGCTTAATGCTGTACGTCCATAAGTAATTATGCCTTTTGTAGGCTGCCCAGCCTCTCCCCGCAGGCAGCAGAGCTCTCTTGGCCACGTACCCTGCGAGCATAACTGGCCCCTCCGCTGCCTGGGACCCTGCCCCGGGAAGGTCTTGCTGTTGGGAACCCTGACAGCAGGTTGTTTGTCAGGCAGCTGCTACTGCGTTCAGGTCTCACTGGTGTCAGGGGTACAGGCTGCATCCAGAAGAGCAGCAGGGGTGCATTGCCATGAGTAGAGGGGGACATTGGGGTGCTGCTCGCAACACCCCCGGGGTGGCTGGAGACACAGCACATCGCTGCAGCCTGGGCACAGCCCCCAGCGCTGCCCTGCTCCGTGCAAGCTATGCCAGGCGTGTGCCCAAACACACCCAGTTGTGCCCTGAAGATACACGGGCACCTCCCCACGGCCACGATACCTCCGTGGCCCCCAAGGAAGGGTGGCAGAGGGAGCTCTTTGCCAGGAGGAAGCTCACAGCAGAGCAAGGCTGTGACTAAACGGCAGCAGTTCACGTCAGCGTATTCAGAAGTTTGAAAGCACTTCAGCTGCATAGCTGGCAGCAGTGGGGGTGGCAGAGGGAAGAGGTCCCACGAGGCAGAGCTGGGCTGGGGCTCGCACTCGGACAGGATCACTGCTGCTGAGCTCCAAGGCTGCGGTGGGCTTACAGCCTCTTCCTTCACTCAGGAACCACCTTATCCACACCTCCAAGATGACTAGATAACCACCAGCCTGAGATGGCTGTGGATGGGCAGTCCAGAGCTCGCTATTTCCAATTCTTTTGGGGAAATCTTCAGTTCCAAGGATGCTTTAAAAAAAGCCCAGCTGCCCCTTCTCCTGGAGAGAGCAGCCTAAGAACCAGCACGTTTGCATCCACCGAGCAGCTTCACAGCCCTCCTGCCCTCGCTCCGGCTGAGCCAGCGTGCTTGCATCACCCTGGGGAGGGGGTCTCGCACCTTAACGACTCTCCTTTCTTCTGCTTCAGCTGGGGTTTGCACCCCGCACCGGACACCACGGCAGCCTGTGATATGCCTAGGAAGGAGCTGGGGCTGGGGATGGCTGGCTGCAACTCTGGCAGCTGCGACAGCATGGTCAGCACGGCCTCCAACCACTCGCAGCATGTAAGTAACCCCATTGCGCCCAGCCTGGGCACGGCAGGGGCTCAACTTGCCCCTCTCGGCAGCTGAGGAAGGATTTTGGCCAGATCTCTGCTCGAAACCGCTCTCCATCGGTGCTTTGGAAACACCTGGGGCCCTAATACGGCACCATGCTAAGGGCAGCACAAGGACCAAATTAATTCCTGCCCCAAAGCACTCCCAGACTTTCTGTCCTGTCACGTGTGTGGCAGCGATCAGGAGCCTAAGCTCCTGCAAGGTCTTCTCAGGGAAGTGATACCGAGAGCCCAGCGGCTCCTGCATTGCCCAAAGATGCAGAGGCAGATAGTGCAGGCACTGGGCAGGAGGAGCCCGGCGAGTTCCCCAGTGAGGGATTAGACCAGTTGGATAACTGGGTCAGACTGGCTCCAACAAGGGTGACTTCACCTGGAAAAGACAGCGACCGTAGTCCTCCCGGCTGACAGATTAATTTCCTAGTTAAGGCAGAGATGAGTTTGGACCATGGGTGTAGATGTGTAATTTTTCACTGTCTGTCCATTAAAGCTTGTTTGTCTCCAAACACCGATTCCAAGATTGATGGACTAATTACATCCTGTCTTACTTGGAGCATAATTGATATGTGTAAGTGCAGTGCTCGGTCCTGAACAGGTTTTCCATTTGATGTATTGCAAACCAGAACCAAACCCTCTGAAAATTATTAGGGATGGAAAAACTGGTTGCAATATTGCATGGTAAAAGAATTGGATAAGTGTCTCCCTGCAAAACAGCTCCACCTAGGACAGTTTCTCCTCTGTGCTTGTTGATCTGATGCACACTCCATCCTTTCCTGCACTTCAGTTTTTTCATGACATATTGCATGTATCACCTTGTAACTTGGCACTTCCGCAGCAATCGTATCTCATGATACTTGAAATACAACAAAAATTAAACAGAATCTTGCTGGGGTATGAACAGAAGAACAAGGAGAGGGACCACCACCCACCCATAAGCCTTCAGTATTTATGATATTTAGACAAGCTTCTAAGATTCAGCATTGCTGATCGGTACAGATGTCTGTACCTATAGACCACCCATGTTACCCAGCTGCTCATATTTCAAAGTAAACTGAAGAACTAAAAGGTGGAGGCCAAGCTTCCAAGTTAAGAATAACCCACCCTCTGATGCTCATAGCAGGGTAATATATAAATGGCCTTAAGTATATATTTTTTTGTTTAATAGGAAGTTGTTTAGTTTTCTGTAGCTGTAAGTACCAATTTTTGAATAGTCACTGGCCAAGTCTCCTGGCTGGGGGCTGTCACAGGTCTCCTCTTAACTGCCAGGGCTGTGAATAATAATACACCTGTGTCTCCTACCTGTACTGCCTTTTTCCTTTTTTCAGAGCGATAACAGTTATGACTACTTATCTGTGGAAGAGAAAGAGTGTTTGATGTTCTTAGAAGAAACTATTGGCTCACTGGATGCAGAAGCAGACAGTGGGGTCTCTACTGATGAGACCGACTATGTGGAGCCCTCCAAGCTGCCCGGGACATGGCCTAAGAGAGACTCCGTTCCCCAGGGTAAGCTGGAAATCCATGCTCCAGCCTTGTTTGCAAAGGGACGTTCTCGCTGGGGTGCGTTCCCTTGGCAGGCAGGGAAGGAGCATTGCCCCAGTTTTATGCATGTGGTAAGCTAAAGCCAGCTTGTTTTCGTCACTCCGTGGTGAGAAGTGGCTGTAGGCAGAGAGGTAGGTAGGGCACCAACTGCATTTTCCCAGTTCTCACGTGCAGGAGCTGCTAGCAGCTGCCTAGCAAGGTCAGCAGAACCGCAGGGCAGAGCATCTTTGCTCGTGCTCTGAACAGGCTTACACGGATTAACAAGGCTCCCCATTCACCGTGTGCTTTGTCAAATCCAAAGTATCTGACTTTCTTAGCTGCGACAGCGTGTTAGCTGGGGTCAGGGTAAACTCTCTGGGTGCAAGTACTCTGCCATGGCTGCACCGGTTTAGCAGGCGTGAAGAAGTGAGTCTTGTAAACAGGAAGGTGTCCTGTGTCCATCTGCAGAACGGTACATGACTTCATATCTCTCTTTGCCTAGATTTGGAAAATGGGGCTCCCCCTCCTAGTGTAGGTCAGCAGCGTGCAGCTGAACAGAAGAGCGGTAAGAACACCTCCGCCTTCTCAAGCTCGGCTCCAGCAGCGGTTCCAAGCCCAGGCTATTACAGTCTTCCAAGGAACATCACTGTAGCAAATGCACAAAGAGCAAATGGAGCTTCTGACAGCAAAGTGACTGTCTGCACGGTGGAGGACCCAGTGCCAGTAGGTAAATCTTCACAGGAGATGGCCAAGGAGGACAGGCTTGACCAAGCCAACGTGAGAAACCAGATAAAGTCCCTGGGGTCTTTGTTTATCCAACCTCCAGACCACCAACATGAGAAACCAGATAAAGCCCCTGGGGTCTTTGTTTATCCAACCTCCAGATCCCTTCCAGGATGAGCTGGTGAGCCATGAGTGGTCCCGCAGCAATCACTCAGATGCCAAGAGGGAAACAGCCAAGGAGACCAAGACTTGGACTTCATGGGGCCAGCCAGAGAAATCCATGTTGGAAGAGGCCCCTCAGGACCCAGATGCATGAGAAACCAGATAAAGCCCCTGGGGTCTTTGTTTATCCAACCTCCAGATCCCTTCCAGGATGAGCTGGTGAGCCATGAGTGGTCCCGCAGCAATCACTCAGATGCCAAGAGGGAAACAGCCAAGGAGACCAAGACTTGGACTTCATGGGGCCAGCCAGAGAAATCCATGTTGGAAGAGGCCCCTCAGGACCCAGATGCCAAGCGTGGGCCTCCAACTGCCCCCAAACCGCGAAAATTACCACCAAATATTATACTGAAAACCAGCAAAAACAGCCCAGTGCCACTCACCATGGAGCCTGGCCAGAAGGTAAAAGCACCACCTCCATCCTCAGCTGGCTCTCAGCCTGGCTCTGCCAGTGACACCGCTGCTGAAAAAGCAAATTCAGGGCACCTCGACCCCAAGGAGAGGGAGAAAGCCCGGCGGGAGGCGTTGGAGAAGCTTGGACTGCCACAGGACAGGAGGGAGCCCAACACCCACCTTCAACCTACCATGCATCCCCAACCAAGGGAGATGGCATTCCCTGTCCCTGGGGAACCCGAGGCACACTGCAGGGCGGCGGAGAGGTCGGTGCCAGGTATCCGGCAGATGAGCTTCAAATCCAACACCCTGGAGCGCTCCGGCGTGGGGCTGAGCAGCTACGTGACCAGCGCCAAGGAGCAGAGCATCAAGACCAGCAGCTCCCTGGGCAAGATGTCCTTCATCGAGCGGCTCGCCCCAAGCTTCCTCAGGAGCAGCCGCCCCCGGCCAGCATCCCTCGGGGCAGGGAAGGACTTTGCTGGTCTGAAGGAGCCCGGGCAGGTGGAGCAGGAGAAGAGCAGCAAGCGGCGATCCCACCCACTGCAGAGCTTCCCCAGGCCACCCCACTCCTGCGTCAGCGTGAAGATTTCCCCCAAGGGTGCAACCGATGAGAACCGGCGAGAGGCACTGAAGAAGCTCGGTCTGCTGAAGGAATAGCTCTGCGGGTGGCAGGGCTGCTGAAAAAGGGGCTTTTCATCCTGTATCCAGGTGCCTTCACTGCCTGTCCTCGGGCAGCACAACCACAAGCATCTTCTGCATCTTCCTGCCCCAGCACCTTGGGAGGGGTACCACGAGAGGCATTCGGAGCTTCACACCAAATAAAGTAATGCCATGTGTACATAATATTTTGTATATAGCAAGTGTATATGAGCTATTTTATATAAAGCATCACTCAGCGTGTGGATGGGGCATATTCTCCTACAAGGTCTTTAATGCATTTGTGGATTCATTGCAGCGGGGAAGCCACGGAATCGGGGGTTTGGCTGGTTTTAAAAGAGGTTGCCCACAGATAAAGCCTCTCTGGGAAGAAGTGCAGGACTCTGCTGCTCCTTTAGGATTTTATGGGTTTTTGTTAACTTTATCCAAAGCCTGCGAGGCCCGACCACTCACCTGCCCCATGCAAGTGCCTCCCAAAAGCCAAAACTGCCACATACAAAACTGCCAGGCCGATGGGAACCGGAGGGGGCTCAGCAACGCCTCCCCCACAGACGAGCGCTCCTCGTACAGCGCCTGCAGGCGAGGGGCTGGATGGCTGCACAGACATCCCACTGCCTCCTCCGCTAGACTGCTCTCACATCCAGCCCTGACAACCTGGATATAGCACTTAAAAGTAAGACATACACGCATCCGTCTTTATCATGAAGTGACAGTTAAGAAGTGGCAGACTGTGTTTCAGTGGCAAAACCAGAAATGCTGCCCAAAACAAGAGATGCAAATCTGAGACACCACCATTTCATTCCCTTTCAAACTCCCCTCACGTCTTTCAGACCCAGCTGATGCTGTCAACGTTTGTGCTGCACACCTTTTATAGCAAAGGTGGTTTATTTCTGTAATAAACTTGTATATGATCAGAAAAAGACTGTGTAATACAGATTTACTCTTGTGTTGAGTCAGAGCTCTGGTAAAGCTAAATAATGAGTGTTAACCTTCAATATGTCTTGACTTGAGGAGTGAGTGACCCAGACAGCAGCCGGGCATCGTAAATGATGAGGTCTGAACTGGAGACTTGGGCCTCCTGCAACCCAGGAGCTGCACAAGACGGGATTTCATGTAAGCGCTTCCAGTACAATAAGCAGATGCAAAGTCTGCCACGGCACTGCCAGACTGGGACCGGTGACATGGGACCTGCCACTGCTCCAGTCGATCCCTTCCAACCTGCACCATCTCCTGGGTCTGTGGAGACATCTCCCACAGCAGCCATGTTAGTTGAAAAGCCACACTAACAGCTTAGCTTGAAAGGATCATTTTAATTTCTTCACCAAAAAAGTCCTTCATGCAATCCTGGCTTTCAGTGTTGGACCTCTAGAGAGCGCCTCTGCTAATAAAGCAAGCGCCTTTGTTCCTAACAGGCAATTTAATTTCAAGTCTAACGTAGGCTTCCTTTAGAGAGAGGGGCTGACCCGTGGAGGCAACTGCACTACACAATCTACTGATGTTAATTAACTGCTTGCAGCATTAAGATAAAGTTGCACTCAATCGTTTTCATCGCTGACCTTGCAGTACAATCAGCTTTTAAAGACAGTGTTGTGAATACTAAACAGGCTCGTACTAACAAAACCCAGAGCCAGGCTTCTAATTCCTCTCCAAACAGGCATCAGCGGAGCTTTGGTTTTGCACGGAAAGAAAGGGAGGGCATCCTTCTGCAAAAGCTGCACCATTTCACAAACCCCCACATAATAAAGGTGTGTACAAGAGGAGGGAATAGTACCGACCCACGTAAAGAATCCAAGGAACATGAGAAAATGATGTCTGATTAGCTACACTTCATGAAAGCAGGGAAATGCTTGTTTGTAGTTAAGCAATTAACTAAATTAGTTTTGGGCTGGCCAGCAGTAATGCAAACCTGTACATCAGGGAGGAAACTAGGAGAAGCTGCATGGGCTAAGGTCTGACCGAAAACTCAGCAGGTTGCTCAGCAAACACCGTGTTGCAGGTACATTAGCTCCAAAAGGGAGAAGGAGCCTGGAAAGTTATTAACTCCCCCAGCCTGAGCCCAGCGCCTCATTTCAAGCCTGGAGCCGCGTTGGCAGTGGCCAGGCAGGACTGGCAAGCTGCTGCGTGGCTGCACGCCGTGGGCGATAACTGCAGCCTGGAGCCCCTTCACCAGGCACAGGGATGGCTCTAACCCCAGCGCTGCTGGGGAGGCAGCTCTGCCACGTGCCTGGGGCATCACCAGTGGTTTAAGGGGGTTAGGCAGGATTAAGGCTGTTTGCACTAAAAGCTGAGCAGGGTGCAGATACTGCCCTACACACAGTGCTCTGGGCGCAAGCCTGTCCCAATATGAATGGGTCATGATAAACATGGCCAGAGCTGAGGTCCCCCCTGTGCAACTTGGTCCACGTGGCCTTGGGAAGGTGCCTCTGGGCTAACGCGTGGCCAAAGAGCAAGGGGGCTGCTCTGTGCTTACAAACTGGGTGCTCGCATCCACGCCATCCTGCCCTCCTCCTCAGCTGCCTGCTTGTGCCCGGGGCAGGGGCCACCCTGCCTGAAGCAGGAGGCAGAAAGAGCAGCTTGGTTTTAAGAAACCACTCCCAGCTGCTGCAAAAAGTTCTGTGAAGCTGAGAGGTGGCCGTGCTCTCTGCGAGAGCAGGATCCATCCATCAGCAGCAGGGCTTGACTCTGGGTGGCACCAAGCAGAGTCATGTGTCTGCTCTTGCGTAAGGTCCCAGCCCAGGAGTCACACAGCCCGTGGCGATAAACACCTTCGTTTCTAATGGCTGCAAACATATCTAGACTGTGAAATGTCATATATTGCTTGCAGGATTAAACAGCAACGCCTGCTTTTGGAACGGGGCTTGCCCATGGTGAGTGATTCAACCCAGAGGACCCAGCAGCAGCAGAAGCACTTCACCCCGTGGAAAGGCAGAGACCTGGAGTTCATTCCCAGAGGAATGACCCTGATCTCCTATGGCTGTTTTAATTTATTCTCTTTTGTTTCCATTTCATACCAATCGGGCCATGTGCACAACTCCTGTTAATGAACATCACTCCCCCCCATCATAGCTTAATAAGCAATCTTTGTGAGATTTCTGCTAGGAAGTCTAATCAAAACTTAGCTTTCATGCTTGACATGTATGTTACACCGTAGTACTCCCTGGTTTTGACTAAATAAGCCAAGGATTGGAAGAGAATCCTTTGTTTCCAAAACAATCTGTTTTTAAGAGAAGTTAAGGTTCTGTTTCAGGCCAAAAATGCTTTGAGAGAGACCTTAATGCTCACCTCCTTTCTCATTAGATAAACAAGGTGAGATTACCTTTGAGACTGCAATAGTCATGTATCTACATTATGCAAGTAATGTGCAGTGAGACAGAGCATTAAGTAGGATAATGCTGGAATCAGCAGTAGGTAAAAAGGAGTGGTCAGAGAGGAGCATGTAGATGAAAATGCACCAGAAAACCACCCTCATTTTCATTATACAAGGAAGGATGAGGAATAAGAGGCAAATAAACTGCCTACACATTACTATTCCTGCTAAAACTGCAAAGTCCACAAAGGTTTGGAAGATAATAGAAAGCTCAGTCCTGACAAACTTATCCACAGGTGCCAGCTAAGTTTTCTGTCTCTATGATATTTCTACATGGTGCTAGTGGATGGGACAGGGAAGACAGAGCTCTGCTCTCACAGGAGGAGCTGGCAGCCCTGAAGGAAACAGCTTCTGTCTCAGAACAGAGAAATTTGTTCTGAAAAGGCAACAGGCCACAAAAGATGGAGCTACCAGATAATCTTGCAAGAACCGGCTTCAGAGGGCTGACCCCTTCACTCAGAGCTTAATCTTGCATCTTCCTCTCCTCTTCCATTTATACTGTGCTCTCCCTGCCTTTAAAGTCAATCATTTGCACTTGAAAGTCTACAGCCTGAGGAGTGCAGCGCTGGGTGGGAACCTCTCCTGCTGCCTGTCTGCACATCAGGCCGGTTGAAGCCTGCCAGTTCACACAGGCAGCGCCAGATATTCCCCCTTTTTGTTTGCAGGAGCTGGGAAGCAGCATCAGTCACAGCAGCCCTGCATTTACAGTCACGCAAATAATTGCTCCCAATGCTGGCCCACTCCCTCCGTGCCAGGCAGCAAGGACCACAGGGAGCAAAGCTCTCCTGCTCTGATGTAACCCATAATCCACAGACTCAAAGGAAGAGATTTACCTTTGCTCTAGCCCAGCCCGCATCTCTCATCAGCAGAGTCTCCACCACCGAGCCGCTCCCCAGCCAAGTGCCCGTGGGATCCCCACCATCACCTGATGCAAGAGCAGCCAAAACAGCCCCAGTTTACAGGCTGGCAGGAGCCTCAGCAGAGTGATGAGCCTCTCTTTTATAAGGGGAAAAGCTGGTGGGCACTCAGATGAGCTCCCGGCTGTGCTCCTCCAGCCCACCGGCACCGACACAGCTGATGCGAGGAGCCGCAGCGATGTTGCTCATCTCACAGAGAGGCGAGGGAAAGGCTGCTCCTGCCTGCTAATGCCTATTATTGGCATGTGGGGGTGCCTGGGAGGTGGACAGGGGAAAAGCAAGAGCAGAAACAAAATCTACCTCCAGGTTCAGCCAAGCTCCAGCCGAGTTCCCGGGCTCTTGTCTGGGTACCTCTGAAAGCAGAGTTCGTACTACTTAATTCTGGGCATAATTTGCTTGATTTGTTCCCAGAAGGCAAAATCACAGCAGACCCCAGCCAAAAAAAACAGCCATGAAGAGAGATCATAATATTTCAGAAGTAACCTGAAGAGTTAGTAAATGTACCCTCAGTGCCTTAATGCAGATTATACAGACTGTGTTTATGCGGTGCAACAATGTTAGAAAAGACCCAAAGAAAACACCCAGCTTTGCATTTGGCATGGAGTATTCATTTCCTTCTTAACTATCAGTCCCATAGTGGCTCAAACATATCATTTCCATGTCTACATGAGCCTGTCAAGACCTACTATTCCAATTAAAAGCACTCTTGCGCACAT